TAGGGGATTATTATTTTTATACATGTTTAAGTATTTTGTTTTTTTCATTTAGTTTTCAAATCTTGAAGAAATCTATAAAAATATATATTTTATAATTTACTGTTGATTTCACATGAATACGATTTAGTAATAATAATTCACTATTATCCTGTGCCATGACGATCAACAAAAAATCAATGTGCTTTCCTTTTCTATTTGTTACGTCTTGTTTCATTTTTATTTTTATTTATGTTAAATAAAATCTTATTTTTTTTTTAAGAAAAAAAAAATTTAATAATATGCTAAGTAATATAAACATATAAACGGAAAATTTAGTCTAATTATACAGCTACATATACATATAAATATTATGTAGTATTATGACTTATGAGTGATGACGATGACGATTTTGTATAGATTAATTGTTTCATCAAATATTTAGCATGAAATTATCAACTATTATGTATTAGACTACGAAAGTGTTGATATAATAATATATCAATTTATTATAGTCTATAATTATAGGTATTTATATATTAGTATTTTAGAGATGTTAGAATCATATGAACGCATTCTTTAACAACGGACCGTAAATCATATATATGTATTTATACATCGATAACTTAATCATATTTTTTGGGGGTGGGGGGTGGGAAGGGAGACAAAGTATTATCTCCAGCTGAATTTAAAAATATATCACACACGTATTATAATTTATATCACATTATAATATTATTATATTATAAGCACCCGTTACCCGTTGACCCGGTGACCAGTCCGATCGGAAAACCATACACGCACCTACGTAATATAATAATATCGTATATTATATAGACGTGCTAAACGGAAGCACCGCAAACGTGCATTCCTCTAACCCAAAACAATGCATTCCACCTAAACCTTTACGAAAGAGGAATCCGATACTCGTGGTTCGTGTATACCATTGGTTAGGTTGATTGCCAAACGAATTTACAAAATTATCGCATTATAATGTAATATTGAGTATTTGCGTCATTATAGACATTTATGGGTCAATATAATATATAACCATGTGCAATAATTTTAATTGTTTTCGGTTTAATTTTACAACACATATTATTAGAGATAATAATTTTGTAAACCTAGCATCATTCATCAGTTCGGAAATTATTGGAATTTCTTCGATGCAGCCATAACGAGTGCATATTCGTAGCATAAAATAAATACTAGAGAAAAAATTATGATCAGTGTCGCTTTCTTATAGAAATATTTTTTATCAGACAAAGATAAAATACTTTTCGGCAATGCGCAGTGGTAAGTATACTTTAAACATGCAGTTGTCTGCGCGAGCGGTGCTCCATTCATTCAATACAAAATTCATTAATGGAGTGACGAAGGAGACGAAGTAACGATCGCCGCCCAATCACTCGACTGTGCTAATACAATATTATCTATTTTTTTCTAATATCGACCAAGTAACTATGTGAGCAATACGGTATTCCTTATAAAGCCCTTGAACATAACAGGTCTAGGTAATAGAATCCGTTAAAATAATGGTTTGAGTTATTCATGTTACGTACCCACAGAGTTGCCTCGGCAGAAATATGATCTGGATGGTCATAAGTGGAAATTCATCAAGGTAAGGTAATGTTTTTAACGGCAGTTTAGCAGAAAAAAATAAGTCAAGAATTAATTATTGTTTTGAAACACGTCAACAGTTTTTTTTTTTAGGTAGTAGGAACCAGGAGGAAGGAGATACATCGCTACAACTACTACAACAGCTATCGACATATTTCCTACAGTGTCAGTTTGACTATAATGACGAAGAAAATTGCGAAAACATTGTTACACATTTTGACTATTGTTTGAGTTTATTGCTCTATACACTTGTGCCTATTGTGTTGTTAGAATAATCTGCTGATATAGAGTTTAGGCTGGCAATTTTTTAACCGCGTTTTACCATTCCAATAACTAAATAATATGTACAAGCCGGTGTGGCAATGATGGTACATGATAAGATTAAAGTGAAAGTATAGCATAAAATCGAATTATTGGGCTATATTGATGAGTTTTACCAACTACTGTACATTTTAACTATCAATTATGCATGCAATAATTTTAACCAGCAATATTTTTAGCTGATGAAAAACAAAATGCAACTTGTTTTTATATTCAAACATTCAGACTGTGATGTTAACTAATTTATCATAATTATAGTTTGAAGATATTTATAAAAATTGTAATTAAAACAAAAAATGTGACCATTTATCACACCATATTATAATGAGTAATGGCGTTTAATCAATATTTTTTAATAATTAAAAGTAAAGTTATTTGGTAAAAAGGGAAGCTTGCAGCATCTACCAGTTCGATTTTATATTAATAATGAAAACAATCATCTACAAAGCGAATAACCACTGACGTACCTATGTTAATATACGATATATGTATAATGATATATAAAAATCCCACTTTCACGTCAAACAAGAATATTATCTATCTTGAAATCAAATTCTATACGGTTTAATTATACAGCTATATCATCGATGCGTTATTATATTATGTTCGTGTTCGTGAATGTTCTTCTCAATGTGGCTACATGTAAACGTATTTTTTAATAGTAATAAAATTGTATTATCGAGTATGAGGACATCATTTTCAAAAATCATTTCACACAATGAAAATGTTTTTTTTTTTTATTTATTTATTAAAAGTCTCATCACTTTTATTGTATACAAATAATAATATGGTATTAAAATAAAATAAAATAAAATATGATATTTTGTAATTAACCTTTTCCATGTATTTTCGAAGCTATGAAAAATATTTTAGATACTTTCAATACAAATCTGAAATGAAAATAAATTATATCGCTCGAATTGCATCAATAAAATTCAACCGAAATCGTGAGTAAATATATTCACGATTTTAGCTCAATTCACACGCCTTTCCCTCAATCAGTTTGAGTTAAAAATATTATACACTTTTATAGTCTTATTGTATGGTCCTACTATAATTATTGAAAATACTAATAATACTAAATAATTATTATTTATATTCTTAGAAATTTACCTATAAAAAAAAAAAAATGTTCCTTTTCTTAGAAATATGATATTTTTATTTTATTTTCCTTCGTATTATGACACATTTTGTATAAATAACAATTATTTTTAAATAGAAACTAATTTTCTTGAAAAAAGTATATGAGCTATAATTTTATCAAGTATTAACCAAGATAAAAAATGTTTTTTCATAAATATTTTATATACATATATAATATTATATATTGGTATATATATATATATTGTAATACATCTTATGAAAGCGATGTATCTTAGTAGACTAGTTTAAACTAAAGTAAATTTATACCGCACTAGTTATTCTATGTAGACTTAACCTTTCACGGTTAAATAACTACATATGATTAATATTTAAACACGCGCAATTAATGAATATAATTTAATGAAAATCAAAGGAAGTTAATATTATATGATCAGCATATTGTGATATTTATAAATCTATAAACTCGCGTATTATGTAGGTTAAATAAACAGGAATTAAATAGTACCTAAATGGGTATAAATATTTAATGTAAATATCGTTAAATATTATCAAAATTATAGGTATAAATGAAAATTGTATATACGTATAACATTATTAATGATCCGTAATCTATACTATAATACACTTATCCCAATCACCAATTATTATGAACATTTCGAGAGAACACATAAAATATAAATATATATTGCAATTTTACCACGCCATATGTTCACGTAAGTAAATAGATTCTTTAGAAAAACTCTAAGGTTTAAATCTTCTATAACTTGTTTTTTAATGTATTACGCAGCCAATGGAATCAATATAGTGAATATTGTAATCGAAGTATTTGAAAACTATTTGTTTCAACTCAAAAGATTATATCTATACATTATATGAAAATTACATTTTCTAAATTGAATGCATTAGACACGAATAAAAATTTAAATTAGTTTATTTTTCAATTATCAATTAATTTTTCTTAAGATTTCAATATTATACTCCATATTATAATATATGCTTACACATTTTGGGTTGTTGTACAAAATAAAAATAATGAAATATTAAATGGAATTTTAACATTACTTTTTTTTTTTATTTATTACAAAATAATAATCCTTTTATTTGTAGGTATCAAGAAAAGTGTAAATAAATATTTTATAATTTTGGAGTTTAACGAGTTCAAAATGATAAAATTATAATTCTCTAACTTATTTTACCGGGATGATATTTCCAGCGAAAAATAAAGCATTGCCGTTATAATTTCACCGCATTTTGCACACAATGTTTTACTAACCCTTCTGTTGTAATTTAAGTTATATTTTACGAGAAAATTTTCATTATGCAGTTACTTTGAATTAACAAGATGATTCGCTCCAAAACAACCCCACCCTTGGGGATATTTAACTTTAACATCCGACTGATATAGTATTTTCAACATATTTTTTTTTTTTTTTTTATGTATTATAACTTCACATAACTATTATTACTCAAGTGAATTATTCAAAAAGGGTGTTTCGTTGTTTCTTATAAGATGAATAAAAGTTAATAGAAATAATATGGTCATGGTTATCTTACACACATACGTATACTTAAGCATATACGTATTACATCAAAAACCTATATGTAAATTATGTATTTATTTATACATATTGTATTTAATTATCAATTTGAAATACTTCACCCAAAATATTACACAAAGTATATTGTGGTATTTGTATTCACTATAGAACTAGAATTTATAGAATACCTACAACGTGAATAAAGTGCATTAATACTATTGATATTATGTGATTGTAAATAACTAGTTATGACTACCATATATTTATCACCGTGACTTTTTCATGTTTATGTTTATATCAAGTTATTATTATTTATTATAAATTATTTGAAAAAGATAAAAATATGATACTTTTCAAACCTTGAATAGAAAAAATATTAATTTAATGTAACTACAACAATCTGATAAAATTAAACTATCCGATTCAAAAAAAAAAAAAAAAATGATGGATTCATTAAACGTGGCAATACAGAAGAAGTCAGACAACACGAAGAAAAATGTGAAATATGGTTGTTCAGATAAAAAAAATTTAAAGGCTTCGCTGCAGACTTGTAATAATAAATCTAAAAAAGAGCTGAATAAAGTTGCTTTTTTGTCCGGATTGTCCAGATTCGGTGTGAAAAAAAACGATACGTTAGGTCCAGGTTAGAACAACAATTGTTATTCCATAATATTATATAAAAGTACAAAACAAATTTTTTTAAACTATACTATAAACAAACTTAATTTAAATTTATATACGAAATATCATAAACCATTTCCGCTGCAAATACCTTATGCTCTATTGTATGTCTATATTTAAAATTGTAAATATTACTTTTTCCGTTTTATGAAAATTTCTTACATTTATTTATTGCAAAAAAAGTACATAAATAATTCTTAGTACAATATTTAAATGGTTTAATGCAATTATTTTAGTATTCAATAATATTTAGTTTACGCATTAATATATACACTATAATATTACATAATACTTAGAAAATATAACAAAATATACAGAATTTTGTTGATAAATAATGTTTTTAAATTTCATAATTCAAACATTTATTAGATTGTTACCATGTTAGCATGAGATCATGCTTCTGTGCTACATAAATTAATGTTTATTATTAGCTCTCACTTTGTAACCAAGCTGTTCAAATTAGGTACAAATTACCTATTATAGTCTATATAGTAATTTTATGTTATTTATATTAAATATTGTACATTTTTATTATCAAAAAAAAAAAAAAAATTAAAATAAAGTGTTTATATTTTCAAATGATTATTTCAATCAAACAAAACTACTTTTGTAATTTCTTTAATTTGAGTTTATTAGATGTATTTGCTATGAACTGTTTGGAAATGAAACTATAAAAAATGTGAAAAGTGATAATTTTAATATAATATATTTTTTATTTTTAAAGTTAAAAAATTACAAACTTAATGTTTACATTCATTTGATATACCTAATTACGATTGCAATAGATGAAAAAAAAACGTCGACTAACAATTACAGAATGTACAATGTTCTTAGTAATATTAAGATGTGTTTGATTTTGAATTTCTTACGACAATTCGTTCCACACCATGATTTCTGTATAATTTAATTGTTGTAAACATATAGGCATATACAACATTAGTTTCCCGAAGTGTCAAGCTAAGAAAAACGGAAAATTCCCTGGTCGATCATATGATTTGAATATAAATTTGAATTTACCACCTAATATGTACGCAGATGGTTTGAAACATCATACGATTGAGACGCGAGTCAAAAAGAAGATTACTGCCAGAGGACCTTTTGATACGTTTACAGGCAAGTCATAAAAATAGAATAAAAATTAATTATAAAAGAATACGTAGTCTGGAAAGCGTATATTTTTTATGTGATTAATAATAGATTTTATTTATTTTCAGTTATACCTATATATAGTTAAATTCGATATTTGTTAAATAGTCAACTGAACGAATGATTACGATTTAAAAGTATTTTAATATTTTCTCTAGTCCATAATATAGTCTTTAGAATCTACACAACATTTGCAAATACACTTAATCGTAATGCAATTCAGACTCTTTAATAACGAATTTAGTAACGTTTAAATCCATAAAATATAGAGACAGTACCTAACCATTAATATTGGTGTAGTTTTAATACATAAAAATAATATTGATCACCATATTTTTATGTTAAGTTGGTAAACAATGGAAGTCTGATAAGTAAAATGAAATGTATTTTCTTTCGTCCGTTTAAACTAACAGACAGTCTATTAATATTATAGTTAAAACAACGGTTTAATGCACATAGAATAATTTAAAAGTTTACTACTCACACACTTAAAGAATACACGTATAAACATAATATAATGCATAATATAGTTACTACATACTGATATTAACAGTATTTATATTCAGCGTCTAATATTTTTATTGCTTGATAATTCTAAACTAAATTAAGTCGATGCAATTTTGTTTCACCACTAAGTACGTTTAAAATGGCGTTTAAATAAATCATCCAAACACAAAATTAATATTTAATCACCATTTATCATTTAATCTATTTATATACTTGGAAATGTCAGAATTTAATGATATATTAGCAAATTCCACAAAATCATTTGAATACGATAAATCAACCCCACCCAGCTACTTTTTTATGTGTATTATTATTTGAAATCGTATTATTGTCTTGTCGAATATATAATTAGGCATTAACAGTGATTAATATACGCTGTTTTCTTTTTTTTTTTTTTAATGTATAATTCCGATATGAATAATTGTACTAATAACAAAAAAAAAACTTTTTATAAAATTATATTAATTAAAAACGTCTGCGATGAAAAAGATAATTTCAAGTTTAATCGATAAGAATTATATAACATTTACATCAATCATAAATTGTGTTAGTTGTTTATGCATAAAAAAAACTGATAATTTAGATAATTTTAGTTTTCAAGTATATTTTAATAGGTATAAAACGACATGTGTAAATAAGCAATAAAACTTATCTAATCCTAACTGTAACTAATTATTTTTAAATTGCAAAATGTGTACGAAGTGTACTTATTTCTGCGAATTTATTGGAATTTAATTAATTCCATTATTTGTTTTTTAAACTTCAGTTTTACTTATGATGTTTTAAAAAATAAATACATTTCAATTTAAATAGGACCCAGGGATTCAAGCACTTTGGTAGGACATAATACCGAAAAAAAATGTTTTCTAGTATCTGACAATTGGCCACTCCCACTCAAGAGCAACGACGTATCCAAAAATCGTTACCATCGAACTTACACAAATATATTCAAACAAAACTCACCGAGAAGAAAAATAGAACGCAAAGTACCAGAATTTTCTTGTGTAAAAATGTTCAATTGGATATCAAAAAAAACAAATAAGTAAGATAAAAATGGTAAAGAATTTTAATCACTGTAGGTACCTATATATTGATGTATGTAGAAAAAATAAATTTCATAAACACTGAATTTTATTCAATATCGATTCGTTATGATGAAATAATAATAAACAATATTCTTAAGTGATTTTTAACTAACTATATGAAAATTATGTATCAAAATTCTAAGGATAGATATTGTTTTAAATTTTTAATTTTAAGATAATATTTTTCTTATATTTCTATATTATTTTCTATCTAGGTATCCATTTAACAGTTCAGAACGGATTGGAGGCAGTTTGAAAAGGACTGAGAAATCGCTTTACCCAGGACCGGAACACTATAATATAAATGTTTTTAAACGCAGTGCAGAAAATGGACACACAAACGTATTTAAAAGTACTACGGCCCAAAGGTTACAGATAATACGCCAAGGTTATGGTATATTTGATTAAATAGGTACACAAAACTTTTTAAAATCGATTCGTTCATTTACGTTTTTATAATACTAAGTCATAATTAAAGAAATAATCAAATTCCTAATATTATCGTGAATATAAAAGTAATTAAGTATGAAAAGGATTTTGGAATTTTGTGATTTGTTTTTTTTCAACCATAGAAATGCGTAAAAGCAATGTTCACTATTTCTTTTTTTTATAAATAACAACAACAAAATGAAGAGAGAAAATTGTACAAATTAATGATGTCAGTATTAGCCAATAATATACTTCATATTATTGAGTACACGGGACTCGACTTGAACTACTTAAGTAATCAAAGCTTTGACAGCGTAGTGTGTACGTCTATATTTAAATTTTAGAATTAATTTTTGACTATCTAAAAAAATTATCCTAAACACAAATCAATGTAATAGACTAGAATAAAATAACTAAAGATACATTAAAATTTCAACATATTCTATTTTTTTGCTAACTTTTAAAGAACAACTAAATATGTTATATTTTGAACATGAGGCCAAACTAAAATATCAAAATTGTCTACTACCAAATTCGAAAAACAAATACATAAAGAAATCTTATATTTCTTCAAAATCATTTATGATTTCTACAATAATACATATAGGTATTAAATAATAATAATGATTTTTAAAAAGCTTAGAATTATATTATGAATGAACTTATATTATAATTTAGTAATTTGGCATTCAAAAACGATCAAGAGAGAAGAATTTTTTTACTGCATTCTAGACGTTTACCTAGTATTTTCTAAGTTGTTGGAAATACTTATTTATTATTACTTATTGCAGTAGGTAACAGAACCAATAACTAATAGAAAAAGGAAATTTAATTTATTAACACTAAAAGCCTTAATCAAAATATAGTTTGTCAACGATCAACATACACCAAATAATCGTATTGTTTTTCTCGTGGTTATTGATGAAATGGTAAAAACTACAAAAAGATTACTAAGTATTTATAAATCAAAAATTTATTTTTCAGTATAAAACGTGTAATACATATACTCAGTTTCTTTATGAAATTATTTTATCATCTAGGTATAATTATTTAAAAAAAATATAATTAAATCATGAAAGGTTTTCTTTGAAATACTCACTTTGATGTAGTATGCAATACATATATTGTAACTCCCAAAATATTCACTGATTGTGTAAACTTTGGAAACAATATAGGTACTTAAAATGTGTTCATGATGTATATTATACAATTTAATATGTGTTTTAAATTATTTAATACTATTAAAATCTATATAATCGATCTCATCTGGCAGTAACCTTTGGTTAAAGTTCAAAAATAATAACCATCTAAAGTTCAGTAGGAGTGCATAAAGACAATAGATTTTACACGTCGAGATAAAATAACTTTTCCACCATATTATGCTCCCTTCATCCAAACTCTAAATGGTAATAGTTTTTGACCCATTTAGTCGTATTAGATTTTGATACATTAAAATATTGCGTCAGTCAGAATTTGAAACAGCGTAATATATTACACTAAGTATATATAGTTTATGCATATTTAAAAGTTTTGTATAATAATACAATAAACATAACCTATCATTAAATATTCAAAAGTATAACACGTAGAAATATGTCAAAATTAACTTGAGTATAAAATATACTACTTTAAAGTATACTTTATTATCTACTATTAATATTATATTCACTAAACACAAAATTTTAAACGTTGAACACTATTAGAAAAAATAAAATTTCGTTGGGACTGTGAAAAACGAGGATTTTCTGATACAGGATTTGATAATTATTTAATATATAGAATTTATTAGAGTAATATAATAATAGAAAATAATAGTGAAGAATCGATTTGAATAAAAACGGATTTATTTGGCTGAATAATCTTTCTGTTATAATCAAAGAAAAAAATAAATTAAATACCTATATAAAATTGTATGAATTGTATTGTTCTTACTTAAATTAAAAATACAAAATAACAGCAAACTCTATAAATGTTTATTTTTAAATAAATTGTAACTATTAATGAATACAAGCTATGTCGTTAGTGGTTACGAATATTATTTTGGATTAAGTCAATTTAAACCTATTTCAAAAATTTCAAAACAACGAACTGTTACTCATAAAAGAGACTTTAACTATCATTTGAGACGAAATGGGGTATTCTAGGGATAAGGTATAAGTTGACAGCCTTAGTGAATGGGAAAAAATTAATCTACTAAATTCAAGTCAAATAGATAGGACACTAGCATTTTTCCGAAACCTCTGTCTTGCCACAGTATACCAAAACAGTCTGCCTTTCCAAGTAAACCTCACAATTTTTCAAAAGTTCCCTTGAAATTATTACCACATGATTCAGTTCAATATTGACATATTTCTTCCAATAATAAATAAACAAGAGTTATCTCAATTGAACCTTTGGAAACCTGATTGAAAACTCTTGTATCGTAAATTTAAAAAATGTCAACCGTGTTTCACAAATCCCAGAAAGCCATAAGTGGGCCATGATTTGTATTAATCCGTCTAAGTAATGTTTAGGAGTCATTGGAAAAACTATAAACCGTGTTAGTCAAAACAGTTTAAGATTCTAATTGTTGGAAATTAAGTTATAGCCAATCGACTTACAAATGTCTTAAGCTGATAAGAAAAAGGCTAAGATAGATGTGAGCATCCGAATTTTTACACACTCCAACAGGTTAAGCTGGTCACTGATAAGGGATTTGAAATCGGTTCAACCTACGTGAAGAAAAACTAATATAAAAACACTTGAAGTAATATCAGCAGTACTTTTTAAAACATTGAAAATCAGTATAGATACTTGAACGTGACAAACAACACATAGAACATTTTAGATAGAGAGATAATTAATAACGAGGCACCCATTTACCTAGGATTCAAATTTCATAGAACTCTCAACTCCAAACAACATACTGAAAGGGTTAAGAACAAAATTGAAATTCGAACAATAGGATAGAAAATCTGGTTGGTATAAGTCGGGGAAGCGGCGCGCAGGTGCTTCAAATTTCTGTTTTAACTATTGTGTACTGTTGTGAATGGACACATTGGACGCCAAGTCAAATAAAATATTGTGCATTGTTCTATCCGGAAACTTGAAAAACACTCTAATCCAGTCGGTAATAGTGTTTAAAGAAATATTGTATCACCTGATAGTTGATACACGGCGGAGAAAACATATAAACAGTATACATTTAAATCGTCAAAAACATCTCAAATCGAACCTATAAGAGTATGTTTCGATATGACGATTATTTTAATTAACATAAGTCGATCTACTAGTTTATAAAGCCATACGTACTACAGGATTGATTAAATCATGGTTAAACCTCGATTGAGAATATCAATTTTTATTTTTATTTAACTTAAAAAGTAAGAACGAATATCAAGTTCAGTAGATTTCACCAGTATTTTATTTCTAGAAAAAAAAAAAAACAAAAATTCTATTGCGTAAAAATCAATAAACGTTAAATGTTGGTTAATACTTTATTGCTCTAACTTGATCAACATTTTCGTTTATCAAAATATTTATACTCGAGCATTGAATGGAAAATATATGCTGTCGGAAAAATCTGATTTCTGCAGAATGGGTATAAAACGAAAATCGGACCCGATTAAAGTGAATGTATTTCCAATTTTAAAACATAATAATAATATACAAGGTTATTTTATTGTCGCAGGTCTAACGAAACAATACGCAATATGGTAGGTGTTTGGTGGAATAACATACAGCTATGATTTGAAAATGTCAAAAATGTTCACGAATGACACCGTTCGAATGTCGCGCACTGCACAATGATATTAAACGTATTACGATCATAATATATTATACACGATATAATTACGGCGTACGCCGACTAACCCGTACACTTGTACGCAAAACAACAACAATAATAATAATAATAATGATTTAACGTCGTAATAAATCGCAATAAAACCTCGCACAGTACCGTTTGTCACATCCGAGTAAACACACACACACCGCACACGAGCGTAATGCGCATTTATACAATACTATATAACGTAATATACAATATATAGGTACATAATATATTTTATATAGTCTTGCGCGCACACATTCGTGCGGCATATTCGAGACGACGGAGTATAATAATATTTACAACGCTTATTAAAAGATCTCACAAGGGAAAACGCGACCGCCGTGATAGCATTGTGCAAGCGCATAATATTATATGTATATACATATATATATATATATAAGTACACGCGCACACACACACACGTGGTAATGATATAGTGTGCGCGCGTAGAATGATTTTATTGTGACGGGGGTCGAAATTTTATCGTCGACTTACGCGTTTGCGTAATAACTACTTTATAATGACATATGTTATTAAAATATTAGGTATGACATAATGCGCGCTGATTGAATAAAATAATATAATATATTATTTTGCTTTGACTCCCCGTGTGTTGTGCAACGACTATTCTGACTTCGATCAATTCTCTGGGACGCGATACAGCTGAATACGATAACTCAAGCGCCGCTCAAAATTCTGACGTGCCATAAATTTGCTCGATTTCTGCGATCTTCAATCGCTGTATATAGTCTGTATTACAATTTTATTACACAATGACAATATGTATATATTATTACCTAACTACTGTCGTCGTTTTCTTTGTCGTGTAGTGTGCACGTTTATCTTTTATATATCTATTTTACTCTACTCTGTCGGTCAACCCATCGGATTGATATAGTGTAGGTATATTATTATTATCTGTTATTAAAAATTTGAACTTCTGCCCGTTTTATACAAATTAATTGATTATTATTATTATTATATACGTTTAATATGCACATTATGCACATTAAAGGGTGGTTCCATCCATTGTTTTAAGTTGGTATTTAGCAATGAATTGTTTTCTCATTATCCGGTTAGAACGGTTCCTTTTATTAGGTAGGTACTTTTTAAATGTTTATGAATAATAATAATTTTTTTTATTGAAAACATTTATATTATAAACATA